CCCCCTCCCATGTGCTCCTCTTTCCCGCTCTGTCTACGATCCTGGCACATTGTCCCAAATCCATCAGGTGCTTTCCCATTGGTCCATTGGAGGGTGAATGTCACGGCTGGCTTTCCAAAGGAAGCTGCAAAGGAACTGACATCACAAACAATTGCCCCTCTAGGATGCTGCACTCGCTCCATTCCAGAATTATGCTGGAACACACAGGCACAGACACACAGACACACGCCAGGGGTGTCTCCCCACCAGTATTTGTTTCCAGAGTGTGGAACTGTGTACCAAGTTTGGTTGAAATTGCTCGAGGTGCTCCAGAGTTATGCTGCAACATATATACATACATACAGCCTTTTTTAAAGATAGAAAGAAAGAAAGAAAGAAAGAAAGAAACAAACAAACAAACAAAGAAAGAAAGATTGTGAAGCTGTCCCACTTCTTGTAGTTGTAACTTGTATTTTATTATAATTTTACTGTATTTTTAATATATTTGTTCATATATTTATGTTCATTTTGATGTTATAAGCCACTCAGAATCATCTTGTGTTGAGATGAGCAGCAAACAAATGGAATAAACCAACAAACAAATAAAATTACTATCTAACTTTATACTGTAATGATGCATTACCACCATAGTCAGATCAGCTCAATTACTGCAAATAAACTATTCTAATTCTGATCGCCCGGTCTACAATATTTCCTGGTTTCTTAGCTTTTCATGCTGCCAGTGTAATATAGAAAAGTCTTTCAGACAAAGCAAGCTACAATATGACATAGTAGGCAAGATCCCACTGAAAATTTCCTGATATTTCTAAAAGTAGAAATACTAAGAAGAGATAGCTTATTAATTAGAAAAGCTTCTTTGGTATTCAGGAAGAAAGCATGGAGATAACACAGAATAATTGTTGTATGTTAAAACTTCTAAATTACAATTACTAATAAAAAAGTCTATTGGATTAGATTAGAATAGAATAGATTAGTTGTTCCCCACACCCTTTCCACTATCCAAAATATGATTAGTTTAAGACTACTGAAACAAATGAGTTTAAATTGTATTTTATATTGCTGCTGTGGTAGCTAATATTCTTCTTGTCTAGGCACCTCAGATAGATTCACACAAAGATTCATATTCCAAGGACGGAAGGAATTTAATCCAAAGAGCTGCTGCCACAAATCATAGCCCTTGTCAAGTGCCCTTTCTTTATACTTTGTATTCAGATACCACAGCCTGAGCCCATCATAGGTGGTTTCTAGACAGGAATTCCAAAATATGCACCAAAATGGTATCAAGATTCAGGGAAATCGGAATATTGGGGTGCCCTGGTCTTACCATGGGGTTAATATGGAGTAGCGTCTCCACTCAATTTGTAGCGCTCTGGTGCATATTTGTGTCAAAATATCAAAGGAACTTTGTATCGTGGAGATTATTATTCGGATAATAGCCCTGCACTAAGAGAAGAAAGAAATTCTACCCAAGGCTTAGGGGAGAAAATAGAAATCAAAAGCTCTATCACGCTGCATCTATGAATATATATCTGGGGGTGTGAAAAGGAGTGATTTTGATACTGGAAAAGAACTTTGAGGAATAGTCAAAAGATATTTTATCTATTGATGAAAAACCTACACCACTAACTTGTGTAGCACAGCAATTTCTATAAACTGAATTTGTGACAATGTTGTACTTTGATTTTCCAATCAAATAAACTTCTCCAATCAAAATAAATCTTATTTTGCTCCTCCAAAAGTAAAATAGAGGTAGTTTTATATAACATATCGTAGATGTTTACAAAGGCAAACACAGGTTGCTTGTTTGATCTAGGAACTGATTATGATAGTAACTGCAGCTATTCTTTATTTGAATAAGTTCTTAATCTGTTGTAATGACAATCACAGTTTTTTTGCGGTACTTTAAAGAGTGACACTTTTATTATTGGATTTATTATTGCAACTAAATTAATGGCATAGTAAATGCTACTCTTTCAACAAGACTCTGCTACCTACCTACCTACCTACCTACCTACCTACCTACCTACCTACCTACCTATCTATCTATCTATCTATCTATCTATCTATCTCTCAGTATATAAATCATTCTTCCTACATTGTAAGGTTTCATTTTTGAACAATAATTGCACCCCCTTCTCCCAAAGGGATCCACTTAGGGTTTTAAGAAACCCTAAGAGGAAAAAATGATCTCATTGGAGTCCTCAGTGATGCAATAGTTGCTATAAAGACAGGAACAGCCTCTTTCTAACTCTCTATTCAACTTTACAGACTCTGACACCGTTTGATTGCTCTGGCCTATAATTTAGCTGTTGGCTGCAGCCTCAGAATATATTTTGAGAGGAGGAGGGGGTGGGGAGGGAAGAGAAGGTGAAAGCCAGCCCACTTGTAGCTGGAGAGAAAGAAACAAATTTGGAAAATAGAAGAGGAGGAGAAAGAAAGCCCAGCCCAGGCACCCTAGAAGCAGTTTCCTGTTGCCATCCTCCAAGATACTTAGATTCCTTCAGACCTTTGAGAGAGAGGCTGGAGTTTTCTCAGCTGCCCTGTCCTTGAGGTATGACATCAAAACTTACTTTTCCATTCTCAGCTTTTATTTATTCTTCATTTTCCATCCTTTATCTGTTATATTAAGCAAAGGAGTCCTGATTGGGCCCAAAACTAATATCTCCATTTGAAGAAGAGCCTAATAAGAATAGCATTGATGTGTAAGAATATTCAGTGTTTTCTTGACATTCTCTAGTGTTGGAAATTCTGCCTGCTGTGCCTAACTGCTGTTTTGCTGCTAATTGTTTTTATTAATTGAATTAGTTTAATAAAACATCCGTGTTTGGCAACAGTTATCAGTGCTCTTTTCTACTCACTGAATAAATACAGAAGAGAGTAAAGTTATTTTCAGGCCAATTGGTACTCTGTATCTAGGATTTCACAATTTATTGCTTCCTAATTAATTAGGACTGTCACATGGAATACGTTCCCAGGTAGCTGAAGAATAAACTTGGCAAATAAACCATGTTTAGGACATTTGCCTGGGCTATATTTGCTTTTGGAAAAAGGGAGCCAGAAATACTTCCATCTTCATCTTTATTTCTTAGTGTTTTATTGCAAAGCAGAGTTTATTTCAATCTGTATAAGCACTTCCAAAAGGAAGCAGGCAATTCATTGCCTTTAAAATTCATTGCCTCAGCCTTCGTTCCCTGACTTTACAGGACTGCAGTAGAGAGAAGAATTAAATGGTTTCTCCTTTCCTGAAGCGTTCTTTATTCCCTCTCCTACCTAACCCCCCAAAAAGTTTTTTCCCCCTGCAATTCAGTGAAGTCAAATTGACTTATTTTGAAATGTAAGTGTTCTTCTCTTGCAACCTAAAGAAAGAGGTTTTGCTGTTTAGGGCATGCCATTCCCTTCGAGAGACAAAACATTAAAAAGAACAAATGCAACAGATTTTTTTTTTAAAAAAACAACTATTCTGGAAGCATGGTAAATTGGACAAAAATGTTGTGCAAATGCCATTGAAGAGAGATGAAAGGAAATGCATGCAGAGTAGCATGAAACCCGTTTAGACAAATCCATTGTGTGCCACATAGGCAGAGGCAGGAGACGTGGGGAAAGGGGAGGGGGGAAGAGATATCAACTTTTCACATTTTTGCCAAGCCCCACCTACGGGGAGAGGAAAAAAAATCCCTTCTCTGGTATGACTCTTCTACAATGGAATGTCGGCTCCCATGGAAACCCTTTCAGGGTCTTCTGGTTGAAGAGATGCCCTGTCCTATATGACCACAGATGTGAAAGGAAAGGATGCATTCAGTTGGGGTGTTTTTTATCAACGTTTTGACCCAAAATACTGCTGGCTTGCTCTACGGCATCCAAAAGACAAATTGCAGGATACTTCAAGTCAATTAAAAGGAATTATTCTACACTGTCTATTATTCAACTCAAAGTTTAGTTTGTGTCAAGGGTCATCCAAGACTCAGGAAAGTGCCTGAATCTGTGCCCCATACTTGGTATTTCACACCTAGATTGTTTTTGAAATGGCATCTTAAAAGAACGAGGATTATACAAACACAAACTGTAATAGCTGGAATGATGATCCTTTTGTAAATAAAGAAACAAAGGGCAGAAGCACCATGCCTTTAATGTAGACTTCACCCTGCAGGTGATAATTTAGTAATATTGTACAGTCATTCTCTGCAACAATAAGAAATATGCTAATAACTTTTCCAACTGTCTGTGGGATAAAGGTGTGGGGGCTTTATAAGCAATGATATTCTACCATCCAGTCCAAACTGTGTCCACTTTCTTAATGTTTGACAATGTTGGGACTGATCATCAAGAAGAATATTTGTAACTCAGGGTTGAAATGAGGGGTCTTTGGTGCTCTCTGAGTTTTGTTGTTTTCTTGCAGACCTTTCATTACCCAAACTAGGTAACATCATGAGTCTGTAAGAAAACAAACAAGTTCAGAGAGCACCAAAGATCCTTCAATGTTGGGTCTTGACAGTAAGTCTATGGGACAACTGATTTTGCTTTTGTAGCATCATGGAATGCATAAAATAGCATAATGAAAATTATTTGGAACACTACAGTCAAACGAAGCCCCATCTTTCATGTCTTAAGAGTACTTTTCAGCCCCTGATGGTAAATCTGTTTGGATCATACCATTCAGTTTGTAATAAAGAAATTTTAGACACTGCTGTGCTGCCAAATCATCCTTCTCTCCAGAAAATAGGACATCTCCCTAGAGGTTCAGTGATGATGCACAGATGGCTGCTGAAACAATCTTTTTTTTCTTAGTGTCACTGGGAGAATAAATTGCTTTTGTTCCTTTTGCACAGCAAAGAAGGAGCCAAAAGGTATGCAAGAAACTTGGGTTATAACTTCTTTCCTGATGTCAGACAGCAGGGAAAACTTGAGTATGAGCTCAGCATCACATGGCAAAGCCAGAATTCCTGTTATAGCATTGACCAAGCAAATCTTTTTTTTTTTGGCTCAGTAGCCATCAAATTGAACATTCACTAATGGCAACAGGTACATTCTGATAGTTTTGGCGAAAAATGGCCAAGCAGTGTTTAGGCACAGCAATTGCAGGGAAGAAATAGGAGCCAGTGGAAAAATGTATGTTAATTGAGCGGTACGTATGACAGTGGTATACAACTTTTACTGAGACCAAGACTTAAGTTGTACTTTGAATTGCGCCCTGGAGTCAAATCAAAAGTTTGCTCCAGTCAGCTATTGAATAATTTCTTCCTTCTGCCAATTAAAAATTACAATTGGATAAGAAGTTGCTTGAGGGCCCTGGGAGCCACATTCAAGGCTTTGAGAGAACAGAAGGCAGCCTGGAGGCTAAGCCTTTGCACTTCTGTTTTCTATGTACCATAGCCAATATATTGCAGAATTCTCTTCAAGTTCACTGAAGGCATTTCTGAAATCAGAAATTTCTGGTACCAGTGGAGATCTGGTACCCTTCCAGATTTTGAACTGAAGTACTCATACTTATATGGGAATGAAGTTTAATATCAACCTTCTTCATGCCCATCAAATATATTTTCTCAAAAATAAGTCAATCTGAGATCTGCATTATGGGCAGCTGTTAAGATGCCAGATCATCTGTGCTGATTCACTTTTAAATTTTGGCCTAGAATTCCTAGCAGCTTACCCTGGGTACCTTCAAAGATAGTGATTGATTACTTTCAAGTAAGGGCCACTGGAATTTAATATAGAATAAACAATGAGCTTTCTTGGAGTTATACTGAATCCGATTCATATCCATGAATTAACTTGCTATTAAAAGAGGAATGCTAAACCAAGATTGACAAGGCTGATGTTCAGTCTCCACCAGGGGTGGGTTCTTACCAGTTCTAACCTCTTCTGTAGAAGAGGTTCCACAAATCTACAGTGCCATTTAGAACCTGTTCCAGCTCCCTCCCTCCGCCCATCCGCACATCATCAAGATGAACAGCGAGAGGAGGAATTCTGGGAGTTGAAGTCCACAAGTCTTAAAGCTGTCAAGTTTGAACACCCCTGGTTTTTTTTTTCTAAAGGGTTAGGGGTTCAAGGGTCTTGTAACTTGACAGCTTTAAGACTTGTGTGCTTCAAATGCCAGAGTTTCTGAGCCAACATTTTGGTTGCTAAGCAAGAGCATTGTTAAGTGAGTTTCACTACATTTTACAAGTTGGCCACGCCCACCCAGTCACATGGCTGGCAAGCCACTCCCACCCAGTTACATGGCTGGCAAGCCACTCCCATAAAGCAGGCCACATCTACAGAAGAGGTTCTAAAAAAGTTTGAAACCCACCACTGGTCTCCACCCACTTCTGAGGGATGATTCGGCTTAAATTACCTCAAGATATAAAGAATAAATGGGGACATCAGGGAGGCATAATATACACTGCTATGAACTTCTGGAGAGAAAGAGGAATATGAATTATTTTTACAAATAGCAGCTAATAGTGCAACCCATTTGAATTTTTAAAAGAAATCTTGGTCTAAATATACCAGGAAGAGATCCAAAATATGTAAGAATAGGGATAACAGCACCAACATGGAATTTTAGAAGAGGTTTGCTCCAAGGGATTTACTTTATTTAATTTAAAACAGGAGAGATCACGTAAAGGGTGGGAAGCGGATACATTTTTTTCTTTCAGTTAAACTTTGACATTTGGGTATGTTTGTTAGTGGTTTCACATGAAATTAAGTTTTCCAATTTTGGTATGAATGGCAGATGAAAACTTTTCCTTTTCCTTTTCCTGTAACTAACAACACAGCCCAGATTTATTCACAAGGGGCTGAGTTAATTCAACAATTTTTGGGTATGCGTGGAATATTGCAGTCCAAACCTCCAGCTATAATTCTTTTATAGTAACAGACGCAGCTAAAACTAAAAACCCTTGGAGTGTCACTGTGAATTTTCAAAAAATGCTCGTATCAATATAGCTTCAAATTGGGTTTCTTTTAGATTTCTTTAAACTTGCACAAAATAATCACTGAGTAAAATATGCCATCTCTCACTAAAGAAAAACTCCATCTTTTCAGTATTTTTAAATAAGAATGTATCAATCCTTTGAAGAATCATATTGGCTTCAAAAACAATTGTGCCCCTTATTACAGCCTTAAAAATTTGCCCTTTTTCGTTAATGTTGGTGTACACCAAGTATTACTGTAAATTCAAAGGCTGAATTACTTTTCTTCCATGATTTTATGAGTGCTACTTACATAAAGCTTGACTGAGACTTCTGCCATATGATTCTGCTGACATTTCTAGGCAATGATCATAACAAGCTATTTAAAGCTGGTGATTTCAGGCATTTCTCCTGCGTCTGTGAAACTCATAAGTGTAATAAAATAATATACAGGAGAAATTTGAGTTAGAGATTTTGTGACTCCTGCAGCATGTTTAGGAGATGAAAGAATACAGAATAGGTTGCTTGTGTACTAAAAAGCAGTTTTATAAGAAACAAATCTGCTAAAGTCTAAATTGGTTCATTTCAATTTTATGAATTTTAAACCTAAAATCATATTCATACCTGGTCTAATTATGTAGTTGATGGCATTTGAAATTCA